CTTAACAAAATGGCATATAGATTTTTATTGAAATACATATTCTATTGAATGCTTGCTGGAAATTGATCAGTCTGAATCCGACAAGAACAACTTTGAGCAGATTATTATCCAACCTTGCGAGGGGGGGTGCTTAGAAGCAGCTGCGGGTGCATAATTTATAGTCATACTTATTTATCTATCTATATCTATATCTATATATATGTATAGTTATAGATAGATAGATAGATATAGAAAGAGATATTGATAGGTATATTATACGTGACATTATCCTCTCATTGTACCGATGTAACCGACCCAACTTAACTGACCTCTTCCTCTCTTTTTTCCTGTAGTTCTGTTCTGTTTAGACCCCCCTTTCTGAGTCACCCCCACTGCCAGTGCGGCCTCTCTTTTTCTCTCTTTTTCTGTGTGTGGGAGGCCATGCCCAGCTTCGCGCAGTGGCTTCGATCGTTTGTCTTTTCAGCCGACCCCGATGCCGTCCTGTCCGATCGGGTTCTTCGCAATGAGGAGGCCCGGCTCCGGCTCGCCACGGCGCGTGTGGAGCATCAGGAGCGGGAAAGGGCTCACGAGGCCAAATTGGCGGCCCTCGATCACGACCTTCACGCCCATCAAGAGCGCTACGCCGAGCAGGCGAGGCCGCTGCTGCAGGAGTTCGACGACGTCGCCGTCGCCGCGCACTACTATGAGGAGGTCAAGCACTTCCTCATCAGCCAACGCGCGATGGTCGGGAAGCTCGCGGCGGACGAACTCGGGCACTTCGCCTACCTGAGCAAAAAACTACTGTCGGTTTCCCTCAATTTTGAGGCCCTCCGCCGGCGGCTGAGGTCTGGGGAGCCCTTTCGAACGGAGCTTCAGGCCCTCCTGGACGACGCCGAAAATGATGAGCTGCGGTTGATCGCCGCGCCGCTGTTTTCCTTCGCGGCGAAGGGGGCGCCGCAGGGGGAGGCCGTGAGGGCCGCCGCCTGGGGCCTCGCGCGCGCCATCGAGGAGACCGGAAGGGCCCCCGCACAGGAGCCGGTCCGGGGATGGCTAAATTTTTTGAAATTTCGCACCACCTTTAGCCCAACGACCGTACAGATGAATCAGATCCTCGCCCGTGGACGCGCACAGGTCTTTATGCGGCATATGAATACAGCCGACTACCCCAATGCCCTGAAAGCCGCTGAAGAGGTTTTTGAGAGTCTAGATAAAGAAAATGAGGCAACCTATGATACGTTCCTCGCGACCTACCGGAGTTTTCGTAGGGTGATCTTTCCACACATCGCGGCGAATATTTTTGATATGTACGCTCAGTCCTCACTAAATGATTCTCGCTTTGCGTCTGTGGAAAGCGTACTGAAGGGGTGATAAAAAGAAAAAAAGAGAAGGGCAATGTTGTGATGAAAAAACGGGTGGAGGGGATGAGGTATCTGCCCTCATTTTTGGATGTAATGTGTTGACGTCCGGAGTGTTTTTTTTCTGAGAGAAGGAGAGAGATCAGTGAGATGATAAAGGAATGGAGATGGGAATGGCTGAGACAATAACATATTTCCTGAATTTCGAAAGGAATTTCCATCCCAAGTACGTCGTCAATTTTTGGGTTGTTGCTTTTCCTTGTCTGTATTGTGTCGGACATTTGGATCCTAATCTCTTTTGAGCAAGCTTCATCTAATAACGGACACGAATGTTTGATGTACACTTTTGATGGTTGTATTTCTATTATTGTTGTTGAATTATTTATCGCTTTCCTAATTATAAAAATATTCTCATTTCGAAGAATTAGAACACCTTTAAACGCCTTTGGTCATCAAAAAAAGGTAAAACAAAAAGGAGATAGGGCTTGCAATTAGATGTCTATAATAGCTACAAATTTTGAATACAATATTCTCGAGGCCTGTCAAGCCAAGGATGTTGAGGCCTTTCGCAAGGCGTTTTCGACTTTACAGCTAAAGCGTTCAGTCTTACCCTTTGAAAGGGTTCCCGTCCGCCTTTACATGCTCTGTTGTGAGGAGGCGATTAAACTGGAAGCTTGGGAAGTTGCCGAGTTTTGCATTTCCCACCTTCGCAACGAAGAGCATCTCACACATTTATTAGAATGCCGCACGCTTTTCTGCGAGTCCAGGCTACGATGCAGTCGAAATGACAATAAAACTTCCAAAAATACCGATTGGATTCAATATCGCCATGCCTGCGCGGCGCTGGCTATCCAAGGGATTAAACTCGCCCTGCAAGAATCGCCTTGTGAGTCGCGTTTAGTTCTCGAAGGGGCGGATTTGCTTTGGAGTATTGTTGAGCCGATTTATTATTCTGGAAATTTTTCCTCGGTTTTAGATGTGGTGATTTTTTTGAAATCGCTTTATGATCGTCTCGGCCTTGGAGGGAATTATACCCGTCTTCAGTGGTGCATGCGCTATGCCACCTGCCTGCGAGGTCTCGGCCTCCCGCATGATGCCCTAGTTCTCATAAACGAAGCGATGGAAATATCCAGCAAACTCCGCGAAGATCGCGTTCACCTCCAAATACAACGATTTCTCACTCTGACGCTGGCAGAGAAGGAGATGTTTAGCTCCAAGACTATCCGAGGGGAAGCAAACTCCCTCGGGAGCGTGAAAGGGCTTTATCAACATACCGTGCATCTTATGCAGCTCATTATGTGTGGTCATATTGAGCTGAACGCCTCCGTTTATCTGGATTTATTCAATTTATACGAACGAATCACCACCTCTCAGAAGCGAAAGGCCTCGGATCGGCTCAACGAAACCTCAGTCTTGGCTTCTTCGCTCAAAATGACCGCCCACGGGAAAGGGAATAAGCCGGGCAAAGGTCAGCAGCAGCAGCTCCAGATTACGGAAAACGACATCACGGATGGGCAGGTCCAGCAGGAGGTGCTGAATCATTTGGTCTTTTGCCTCGTCGCCTACGCCGGGGGGGAGTGTTGTGGTCGGGTCAACAAGACGCTCCAGGGGCTTTTAAAAAGCTCCTGCGCGAGCATACGGGTTTTGGCGAATCTTCTGGAGGCGGTTGGGCCCAGCTCGCGAAGTTGGCAAATCATCCAATCCACCAACGTCGCCCCCGATGCGCCTTTTCTCCACCGCTCGGCCCAACTCGACCTGCTCAAGCGAATTCGCCTGGTGGAGAAGACGCTGATCAACACGCACGCCATCACGGACAACGCGGATCGGCTTTACACCCTCAATTTGGTCTGTTTTATGCTCTGGAAGCTTTGCCTGCCGCTGCTCCAGAGCGATGCAAGGGTACACGTGAGCGCCACGCTGGATCGCATTATTAAGGCGCTGGAGGCAACCCCCCACACCTTTATCCCGTCCTATATTGTCTTTCTGTTGTACGAATCCAGCCTCTTGGAGCTTCATTACGGCAACCTCTCGCTGGCCAAACTTCGCGCGGAAAAGGTCTCCTTGTGGAGTCAACGGCACTATTTATATCGCCATAGCGCGCGGTCCGGCGAGGTGGCGCTGCATTCGATGGATTTCGCGATTTGCTGGCTTCGGCATTGCATCGAAATCGCGAATTGGATGGAGTTAGGCGAGTCCTCGCTGACCCTCGGCGAGGAAGACCAGGTGCTTTTATCGATTTTGCAAGCGCGAAGGGCAAAAAACGAAGTCAAGCGCGTCCAGTTTTTGAAGGACGCTTACACGAAGCTCATCGTGTTGGAAACGATCAACGGGAAAGCTGCGGGGGATGACTATTCACTCAAGGCCGGGAGCATTTCGAACGTGCCCACGCCTTCCATCGCGTATGCCAACCCCACGCCGAACGCCCAAGGAGGGCGGCGGACGATTCGCGGGAATATAAAAGCGCCGTTGGCGTTGGCCGTTGAATGCCCCCCGCGGCGATCCCTCGTGGAGCTGTACGCGATGCTTTTGCAGGAATGCCATCGGGCGCTGACGGCTTCGCTGCTGCCGATCGTGAAGAAAGTGGCGGGCGCGATGTGCGGGATGCAAATCCGCGCGGATGGCTGCTTTCCCGAACTGGTCCACCTTCAGGCCCAGGCGCATCTCATCTACGCGGAGATGATGGCCTTTGAAACGGCGGAAAGCGCCGAGAAACGCCAACAACAGGTCGCCGAAGGGGCCGAATTTCTCGTGCAGGCGACGAATCTGGATGTGGAATGTCTGACGGGCGGGTCCTCCACGGGGTGGGTCACCGTCTGCGCGTGTAAGCTCTTTCTCGAGCAATACAACGCCCACTTATTCCTGCACAAAGGCGGCAACTCGAGCATGTTCTATTGCCTGAATCAACTATACCACAACTACACCCACCTGAACGCCTTGGCGGGTTCGGGCGACTCCACCTTGGCGGTGGACCTCGCCCTGGCCTATATCCTCGCCATGACCCGCGAGTACATCGAGGGCAAAGGCGAGGTTAAGGACGAGCTCTCGGTCGCCAGCCCCGACGAGTACATCCGCCGTCTCTTTTCCTACCCCAAGACCGATCCGAACCATCCTCTGCTCAAAAAGGCTTTTGAGGTCTGCCAGGAGGTGGTCCAGCGCGTGAAGGAGCCCGCCTGCAAGGCCTCGCTGTGCATGCTGCTGCCCTGCCTGAGCCGCCTGCTCGGGATGACGGCGAAGATGGACCCGACGGCGCCCCCGCAAGAGCAGCTGCTGCATCTCCTCGGAAAGGTCGCCGGGCCGATCGCCAAGGAGGAAAAGCTCGGGATTTTAAAGAAGGAAATCATGGAGCTCATCGCGGCCGACCCATCCGTCCAGCTCTGCGGCCGCGTCGCGATGCTCGGGCTGGAGCTTCGGCAGGACCACATCATCTCGGAGGTCTTCCGCCTGGGGAACTCGCTCTACGCGAAAGGCAAGCTCGCCTGGGCCGCGATCCCCACCCGCCCGAACTTCCTGCTCGCCAACCTCAACAATTCCATCTCAGGGGCCTCGACGACCGCCTCGCAAGGCGATTCCCCCGCCATTCCTTCGCCGGTGGTCGATTCGGAAGGTTTGGGGGGTTCCTTTTCCGCCCTTTCCGCCTCCGCGGCCCCGACGCTGCCGAACTCGGAGGATTGGATGTGGTACGCGCGCCTGCAGTATTGCCAGGCCCACGCCTTTTACGCCCGCACCCCGCAGGCCAGCGCGGCGCTCGCGCGGCGGCTTCACGAGCGCATTCTTGCCTGCTGCACGAACTGCGCGATCGCGGCCTCGCAGGCCGTCGAGGCCGCCCCGCAGCCCAGGGCCGTTCTCATCGCGGAGTCGATTGTGCTTTATTATGAGGCCCTCTGCGGGGCGGGCCTGGCCGCCGACCGCCCGCCCGGCGTGGCGGTCGTGCCCAGCCTCAAACTGCTGCTGTCGAAGCGGATTTTACGCCTGGTGTTGGACCGCCGGGAGGACGGAGGAGGAGGAGGGAGGGGGGGGGGCCGCGCGGCGAACGGGCGTGGATCTCCCGCCGCGCCTTTTCCACCTCGCGGCCTGTCTCTTTCGCTGCCATGCCTGGACGAAAGCGCGCGTCGAGGAGGTGGTCCGCGCCCTCGCCTACCTCCGCTCGCGGCTCCCGCTCGCGCTGCAGAAGAAGTTGGGCCTGCTCGAGATCGTCCACGCCGTCCGCGTCCACCAGGGGCCCGAGATCATGGATTCGGAGCTGCTGGGGCGGGATTCCGCCACCAAAGGCCTCGCGTGGATGGAGCTCGCGCGGCTCGGGCTTCGGGGCGAAGGGCCGCGCCCTTCGCCCCTCGCGGCGGAGACGTCCCCTCTGGGCTCGACCGCCTCGCTCGCGGATGGCTGGGGGCAGGCCCTGAAACACGTGGAAAAGTTCCGGCCCCTCAAGGCGCAGTGTTTGCTGGAGAACGTCCAGTCCTGCCTGTTCGCCGGCGACCTTACGGTCGAGCAGGCCACCGGGATGCTCTACGCCGGGCTTTCTTTGGTGGAGGAGGAGATCGAGATGGGCCGGCGGAAGCTCCTGACGATGGCCTCCATCCCAGACGTCGCGTCGACGCCGGACGGCAATCGATCGCTGGGGGATCTCTACACCCTCGATTTGGGGTTGTTCTCCTGCACGAACGACACGCTGGACTCCAACAAGGACGGCTCGCCGCTGATGGATTCCTCGCAGCGGGGTCTGCGGTCGAAGCGGAATACCGACTACTTCGCCTCGATATTTCGCGCTCGCTTTTTGGGAATCCACATCCTGTACGGCCTCTTCTCGCTCTCCGATTCGTCCTCTGCCGCGGAGGGCGAGCTCCTGCTGCGGTCGACGACCTCCTACGACGGCTTTCGTCTCGGGCGCTTCTCCCGGCGCAACGTCGTGGTGCATTTTCTCAAACACGTGCGGCTTTTATGGCTGAACACGATGAACGTCCTCCAGCCGCCGGAGGGCCAGCAGGCGTGGACGGTGCCGAACACCTTTCCCGACTGGCTGCATTTCCAGTGCGAGGCGGACTGCTGCGCGGTCGCCAAGGCGACCCCGATGTTGGATTTCTCCCTCAACACCGAGACCTTCCAAGGGGTCTTGTTCGAGGTCGCCGACGACCTCGCGGAGGGCATCGCGCCCCAGTTCTCCTTCAGTTTGTATCAGCTGATTCGCTTTCTGGCGGCCCTGCGGTATGGCTTCACGAGCTTCCGCACGGCCGCGGTCTGGCGGGCGGCCGGGGCGAAACTGAAGGTGGCGGCCTTGCGTTGTGGGTTGGCGACGGCGTTGCCGCCGCCCACCGATGCCCCTCTGCAGTGGCCGAAAGTCCTGCGATGGCTGGCCGCCGAGGCCGAGCCCGACGGCCCCGAAGCCCCGCCGAAGGGCGAGCCCCCCGAGCCGGCTTCAGG